AGGGACCAGCAGCCTCGAAAATAAGGGATCAGCAGCCAAAATAAGGGATTTTGCTTAGCTTATACAGAAATCCACCACTGATAGAGCCATGCTGCTTTGGCTGCCACTGACTGTGTTTTGCAGGGGGTTGGACTAGATGATCCTAAGGATCTACAACTCCAACCAAAGAAGAGTGGCAGACAAAACTGATGAACGATGTCGAGATGGCAAAGCTTACAGGCAGAATTAGCAACCAGGAAGAGGACCTCTTTAATAAAGAATGGGGGAAGTTTATAATTTAGCTGAAAAGCTATTGGAAAGAGTTACATACATTGGTAGGATTGACAGAAAACTTGTAGGAAAAATTTGAACTATGGATGGACAAATGATTTATAAAAATAGAGTTATGAAAGGGATGCAGAGGGTGAAATCATTACATTAAGATGCTGCACTGGTTGGAGGGGATGCTAAGCAGCACGTCGGGGCTGCCGTCGTCCTGGCGCAAGGAGTTCCATTGGCCCTTCCCTGCCCGAGAGAGAAGGAGGGAGGGAGGGAGAGACTCTCACCCACGCCATCCACGAGCCCGGCATGAGGCGGTTGCGGCGCCGCGGTGGCCGCTGAAGCGCCACCCTTCTGCATCCCTCCCCATCCCCTCCTCTTCCTCCTCCCTCAGGTGGCCTCCTCAGCCGCCGCCTCCGGCTTCCCCTGGCAGCGTGGCGGAAGTCTCGCAAGAGAGGGGCTGCCTGCCTGCCCGCCGCCACCTGTCTCCTCACAATGCGCCCCTGAGGGGGGAAAGGGAGAGACCGAGACACGGCAGCTTGTGCACTCGCTCTCTCAAGGCGGAGGACCCCGAGCCGCTGCTTCCCTCCCGAGCCGGGCGAGCATGAAACCCGGGAAATTTAAGGGACATCATCAATAAGGGACAACAGCGGGACACGGCGCTGGGATAAGGGAGTTTCCCGCCAAATAAGGGACGGTTGACAGCTATGGTTTGGGGACCCCTGGTATATATCTTATAATAGAAATCTGTTGTTTTGAGGGCAGGATTACTGCATTGGGGGGGGTTGGACTAGATGACCCGCGGGGTCCCTTCAACTACAATTCTATGATTTTTTCATTACCAGCAGTTCTCTAGGGTTTCAATCAAGAATCCTTTCCATCTGCAGATGCCAGGGACTGAACTGGGAATTCTCTGCATGCCCGTCTACTATTGAGCTATGGCCAAATGAACAACTTAATGTCAGCGCTCCAGCAACCTTTTCAAAGAACCATGTGATATTTTTATTACCAAAGATAACATTGCATTATATTAGATGACTATAGGCAAGACTCTCACCATTGGGGAAATACGGGTGTGTGTTTTTTTTCTCAGGTATTCAGAATGTGTTCTTAACTACATCCGAAATTACACATGAAACAAATTTACAGAGTCTTTAACACCAATGTTAATGAAAAAGGGTGTTATGGAAAGATCAGATCTGCGGGGAAAATAGGTAACCTTTCAAATTAGTATTCCCCAAAGCACAATTAATCTCGATTTAATAGGATTGTTAATGTATGTTATTTGAATACTGATTATTAAACATTCTCCAATGATTAAAAACTATAATAGAGCTGTTACTAGAAAATGGATATGAACCTTTGTTGTGGCTTTGAATACTCTACAAATATGTATTAATGTGCAGCTGGTATTTATTTAATTTGTAGTGGTATTTAATTAACATGCAATAACTTTTTATGAAGTCTAAATTAAATACTGTACTTGCAAAAGCCTAAAGATAAGTCTACAGAAAATGCAAAGCAGAGCAGACATTGATTCAATACTACCATATTGCGAAAGAAGTTGTTCACGGATGCAAAAATCTAGACTTGTCTAAAACAGCAATAGAATTTTGCATTGTGAATAATATCCAACTAAGTCAGAGTCAGAGTAGGCCCATTCAAATCAGCAGGTCTACTCAGGGCTGTATCCAACTAAGCTGTACTCAGAGTATGGTTTAGTTGGACATAATCCTATTTAAAATTCATACGTTGCAAATGAGGAAGAAAAGTTGTAATGAAAATCTGAATACAACTGAATACAACATCACCATGTTTTAGAACAACTACACTGTTTTCTTTCCATCAGTGATAAGAATACAATGAGAAATTAATTCTATTCCATCAAAAATCTGGATTAATTTTGGGGGTTGCGGGTGGCTAGATGAAAACAGCTCTAGGTTTCAGCTGATGAAAAAGGAATATAGACTCCTCTGACCATGCGTACAGTGATAGCATGTAACTAGTAAATAAACAAAAAACATAGATAGCTAGTAAACAAAAAGCATTGCTCATGTCCTCTCCCTTTCAAAATAAACTCCTGCTGGGTGGGCAAAACAACAGTTGCAAAGTCTGTGTAGTATGAAATGGGGAAATATGTTAATTGCAAACAGGAATTAAGGCATTACAATGAAGCACTCTTCAAAATCCCCTCTGCATCGGCCCCATGCTGCTAATTTAGAATGAAGACCGCTTTACAAGGTGGAACTAAATTTAACAAGCAATGCCTGGCTGTTGCTAAAAACTGCCACCCTGCGTGTCTTCCTCCTCTGTAATTTCTAGCAGGCGCATGTGATGTGATAACTGCTGAAACTGGCGCATGTGTGAACAGTGGCCAATGAAGTGGAGTGAGGAATAACCAAACATGGTGATTTCCTGCCACACATTTTGCTTATCCAATTCCAGATCGTAGATGCTGTAGATCGTAGAAGCTGAAAAACATCTTCATGTATGCGACAACGGCCGCAAGAGTTTTAATAGCACAAGGATGGAAGACTGAAGAAACCCCAACTAAAGAATCATGGCAAGAAAAATTGATGGACTATGCAGAACTGGCAAAACTGACATACAAGCTACGGGACAAGGATAACTGTGACTTTAAGGATGAATGGGAACCCTTTACAAAGTATCTGAAGACGCAACAAAGTGAACTGGACTCCTTGGCTGGTTTTGAATAAACATTCACAAACTTTTTATTGATAATAATCAGCTAAATAGTTTGAGGATCTATACAAATGTGTAACATGCAGAAAACAGCATTTTTAGAGAAATCAAAGACTGGAACTGAGAGAAGTCGGGGGTGGGGGTGGATGGGTTCTGTTGGGGGAGGGAGGAAAAATGGGGGGAAATAAGGATGATATGTTTCTGGATAAAATGTTTTGTTTTAATTTTGAATAAAAAAGTAATTAAAAAAAAAACAGATCGTAGATGCTGAACCCGTGTTCCTCCAGAACACCATTGTTTCGTTTGTTTGCGTGTTGCCTTTGCATTTATATCCCACCCTTACCTCCAAGAAACAAAGTGGCGTACATGGTTCTCCCCTCCCTCCTCATTTAATCTTCACAACAACCCTGTGAGGTAGGCTAGGCTGAGAGGCAATAACTGGCCCCGGGACACCCAGTGAGCTTCATGGCCTCGGTCCAGTATACCTGAAGGAGCCTCTCCACTCCCATTGTTCTGCCTGGACACTGAGGTCCAGTGCCGAGGGCCTTCTGGCAGTTCCCTCGCTGCGAAAAGCCAAGTTACAGGGAACCAGGCAGAGGGCCTTCTCGGTAGTGGCACCCGCCCTGTGGAAAGCCCTCCCACCAGATGTTAAAGAAAAAAACTACCAAACTTTTAGAAGACATCTGAAGGCAGCCCTGTTTAGGGAAGCTTTTAATGTTTAATAGGTTATTGTATTTTAGTGTTCTGTTGGAAGCCGCTCAGAGTGGCTGGGGAAACCCAGCCAGATGGGCAGGGTATAAATAATATATTATTATTATTATTATTATTATTATTATTATTATTATTATTATGGCTGGGTGGGGATTTGAGCACAGGAGTGGTGGTAGGTGCCTTTGCCGTCCCACTGATGTCACTTGGTGTAATCTGAGTGCACGGTTGTATAGCTTAGTCTACACCCACATCATACATTTGTAACACTATGTCAGGAATGAGCCAGCTCCAAGCGAAGGTTTGCAGTCAACTGCAGAAAGCAGCCAGGAACAGAGAGGCTGCTTAGATTTTAATAAGGCAGGGGAGAGCCGACAGCTTTAGACTTCGTCTCTTTCTGACCTTGAACAGCAGGCTGTGAATGCAGTAGCTGAGAGCAGGCTGCTAGACTGGAAGCAAAACAAGAGACGGAAGGGTCGTAAGTTCAATATCTTCTGCCCACATCGGAAGAAGTCTTCAGAAGGGTCATCTTGAGTGATGATGATCACTCACCTGGAGTACTGTGTCCAGTTCTGGGCACCACAGTTCAAGAAGGACATTGACAAACTGGAACGTGTCCAGAGGAGGGCAACCAAAATGGTCAAAGGCCTGGAAACGATGCCTTATGAGGAACGGCTAAGAGAGCTGGGCATGTTTAGCCTGGAGAAGAGGAGGTTAAGGGGTGATATGATAGCCATGTTCAAATATATAAAAGGATGTCACATAGAGGAGGGAGAAGGGTTGTTTTCTGCTGCTCCAGAGAAGCAGACACGGAGCAATGGATCCAAACTACAAGAAAGAAGATTCCACCTAAACATTAGGAAGAACTTCCTGACAGTAAGAGCTGTTCAACAGTGGAATTTGCTGCCAAGGAGTGTGGTGGAGTCTCCTTCTTTGGAGGTCTTTAAGCAGAGGCTTGACAACCATATGTCAGGAGTGCTCTGATGGTGTTTCCTGCTTGGCAGGGGGTTGGACTCGATGGCCCTTGTGGTCTCTTCCAACTCTATGATTCTATGATTCTATGATTCTATGATTCTATGATGCCAGAGGCTTGGTTAGAGCCGTCCGGAGCTAGCTGTTTGTTTTTGCAACAAATCCTCCTTTTTAATTACCTACGCTTGCTGTGTTTTCAAGCTGGAAACCTGGACTCCTGACACACTATTATACCACTTTAACAGTCATGCCTTCTCCCAAAGGATCCTGGGAGCTGTAGCTTGCTAAGGGTGCTGGGAGTTGTTAGGTGGTCCCTATCCCTGTCAGAGAGCTACAATTTCTAGAGTTCCCTGGGAAGAGCCCACTAGTTAGCTCACCTGGTTAAAGGGTGGTGCTGATAATACCAAGGCTGCAGGTTCGATCCCTGTATGGGACACCTGCATATTCTTGCAGTGCAGGGAAGTTGGACTTAGATGACCCTCAGGGTCCAGTTCAACTCTACCATTCTATGATTCCATGTTCTAAGAGGGAATATAGAGGGAAGTGTAGCTCAGCGAGGGGGGTAGGGGGTCTCCTAACAAATCCTAGCACCCTCGAAAAATCTACCCTTCCCAGAATTCTTTGGGGTGAAGCCATGACTGTTAAAAAGGTAAAGGGACCCCTGACCATTAGGTCCAGTCATGACTGACTCTGGGGTTGCAGTGCTCATCTCGCTTTATTGGCTGAGGGAGCCGGCGTACAGCTTCCGGGTCATGTGGCCAGCATGACTAAGCCGCTTCTGGCGAACCAGAGCAGCGCACGGAAACGCCGTTTACCTTCCTGCCGGAGTGGTACCTATTTATCTACTTGCACTTTGACGTGCTTTCAAACTGCAAGGTAGGCAGGAGCAGGGACCGAGCAACGGGAGCTCACCCCATCGTGGGGATTCGAACCACCGACCTTCTGATCGGCAAGTCCTAGGCTCTGTGGTTTAACCCACAGCACCACCCACGTCCCTTATAAAGTGGTAAAATGCAGAATGTGACCTTAGTCAGATATTACCCCTTTTTAAAAAAAAGATAAAGGGGCTTGTGCCTTTGACATGCATATTTAAAACATGGGTCCATTTAATTGTTAATAAAGCAGTTTCCTGATGTAACTAATGACCTTGCTGGAGACACAGATAAAAAAAAAAAAGGTAAGCAACCCCTGACAGTTAAGTCCAGTCGCAAACGACTCTGGGGTTGCAGCGCTCATCTTGCTTTACTGGCCGAGGGAGCCGGCGTTTGTCCGCAGACAGTTTTTCCGGGTCATGTGGCCAGCATGACTAAGCCGCTTCTGGCAAAACCAGAGCAGCGCACAGAAACGCCGTTTACCTTCCCGCTGGAGCAGTACCTATTTATCTACTTGCACTGGTGTGCTTTCAAACTGCTAGGTTGGCAGGAGCAGGGACTGAGCAACGGGAGGTCACCCCATCGCGGGGATTCGAACCGCCAACCTTCTGATCGGCCTGCCCAAGAGGCTCAGTGGTTTAGACCACAGCATCACCCGTGTCCCCGGAGACAGAGATAGTCCTGAGGAAAAGCCTGGAAGCTGAGGGAGCTTCCTGGTCCTCACACAGAACAGACCCCATGTAACATACAAGGTTAGCAAAGCACATAGCGGACCTTCCTCGACCTTAATAAAGGTATTATTACTTTCCCTGTGAATTTAGTTCTAAAGTATCAATGTGCCTGCCTCTCTTCAGCCAAATTATGATACGATTCATAGACTATTTCATATTGGGGATATAGAGTGTATTAGCCATTAGGTTTCTTAGAAATGCTCTCTTTCAAATGCCTTTTTCACTCCACAATGCAAATGTTCCTCTACCTAGCAAAACCTAATCAACAAGCACAGTGAATACAATTTTCTTATTCTTCAGTGATAAGCAAAAACTCTGATGTATTAGTAGTTGGTAGGCTCCCCCCCTTTTCCTTCATAAAACTGACTGTAAGAAAATAGCATTTATTGTGGCTACTGTTTGCGTTAAGACTAATAAAGAAAATGCACTTTGTTTCCATTTTATTTAACAGTTATGTTTATTACTTTCCTCACACCGGGAGATAAGTACACAGACATCATGTTACTTCACCCCACTGATAAATGGACCAATTTGCATTTTTCGGGAGGGGGGAGGCTCAAAATGGCAGTTGCAGTGTATAAAACATATACATTTACTATAATTGCCACACATTTTATCTGAGCAAATGTAAATTCGGAGATTCTATAAAAGGCATCTCTTTTCATGCTGAATGTATTGTTCTGTAGTTTGTACAGATAGGCAGGCATTTAAGCAATTGCAATAAAATTTAAAATTGTGGTTCCCTAAAGTGCAATCTTTCTAAATAACTTTCCTTTTAAAAGAAAACAGAGATAAGGCACAATTCTCCTCATTTCCCTGTCATTTTTCAGAATAGTTACAGACTAATTATGATTTAGGATTAGAGCCGGCATCGTTCCTGCGCAGTCAATTTATATATATTTAGTTCACATTTTTCTCACCAACTGCTCTTGAGAGTCCTCTATGGTTTTTTAGCTTGCCAAGGCAAAAGACGTCTGCAGTATGGGACTAGCACAGTTTCTCAAACTTGCTGAAATCCCTCCATTACCTTCTCTTGCACCACCCCCTACAGCACTACTTTTGTTTGGGAGGGGGCTATGAATATTGGTGCACTCAATATAAGCCATGATGTAGAGGAAATCATGAGGGAATGAGCCCTGTGTTCAAATGCTTCTCCTTCCCTTCTCACATGCATCCTAATCCGCTCCTTCCCTGTTTGAACAAACCAGGCTTTGCATTGCACCAGCAGTGTTCATCCAGTTATGGTGCAAGACAATTGATGGGGATAGCAATCTGTGTATCTGGGTAAATGGACATGAGATTATTTTGACATGAAAAGTCTTCCCTTCCCTAACACCCAATCCCTGTCAGGAGTTCAGCCTACACTTGAGTAGGACCCTGGCAGAGACACATACCTGACAGGCATTTTTTCTCCCTCCTGGTCAATCGTTCAGGAGCTTCAAAAGCTTTCTTCAGCCCAAACATCACAGCGACCGATGCCAACCGACACCGGCACACTTAGGGATCCGCAGAGTTTGCACAACTTGCATAACAGACCCCAGCAACTCAGCATTTTGGCTAATCTACTTTATTTACATATAAACACACATGGAGCACTGCAACATGGCTCTCTCTCTCTCCAGCATCAGACAGCAAAGAGAAAAAGAACAAAGGACAATAGTCCCACTTCACGGAACATAGGAACACAAACATCCTGTCTCCGTCACTTCCCACTCTGTGGAGCTAAAACATACACCGTCATGTGATAGACAAAAATCCCATGACTGCAATCATGGAGCAGGAATTCTAAGAATCGCATCCCTACTTGGATGCTTGGGGACATGCACTAAACGGACAAGAATACAACTTCCTCTTACTAGGTCAGAACAATGAAAGAATTCACAGCTGCGGCTTATTTTCCAGCAGTATCAACACAGGCATCTTTCAATCCCTCATCCTACCCTAGGTGGGGATCTTCGGTTCTGCACACTAACCACTGGGGGTAAGCCAGAGGTTGCAGAATGATATGGAAAGAGGTAGTAATCCCTAGTGGGGGCTCAAAGCTATCCAACTTCCAGGGGCAGTCCATTGGTGCAACCCAATCTAGCTGTAATTTGAGATCCGTTCTGGATCTTTATAAGGTCAGCTGTTTAGATTGGCCTTGTCTGTCTTGCCCCACCTTCTCCTGTTGCAGCATTTAACCCCACCTCACCCGTTTTCCCTTCTGCCACCCTTCCTTCATCTCAGACTCATGGCAAAATCCTGTCTCCTCGGAAGGAAGTCCTACTGAATTCCATAGGGCTTACTCCCAGGCAAGCCGGGTTACAAAGTCACCTTCCTACATCCCATTCTCAGCCTCCATGGTTTTGACAAAGCAGCAATGGGGACTCCCGCTGCCGCCACACGATTTCTGTTCTCATCCTGAAGCAAAGTTGTTAACCCGAGGTACTATTTCTGGGTTAGCGGAGTCTGTAACCTGAAGCGTCTGTAACCCGAGGTACCACTGTATTGATATCGCCCAGACCTAAATGTCAGGATAGGTTATCCTGGAAACTGAGAAATTCCTTCCAGCCTTTGGAATGTAACACCCATTAAGGCTACAGTACCTTTGAAGGTGACACGAAAACTACAATTAATCCAGAATGCAGCAGCTAGACTGGTGACGCCGTGACCATATAACACCGGTCCTGAAAGACCTGCATTTGCTCCCAGTATGTTTCTGAGCACAATTCAAAGTGTTGGTGCTGACTTTAAAGCCCTAAATGGCCTTGGCCCAGTATACCTGAAGGAGCGTCTCCACTCCCATCGTTCAGCTCGGACACTGAGGTTCAGCTCTGAGGGCCTTCTGGCGGTTCCCTCACTGCGAGAAGTGAGGTTACAGGGAACCAGGCAGAGGGTCTTCTTGGTAGTGGAACGCCCTCCCATCAGATGTTAAGGAAATAAACAACTATCTGACTTTTAGAAGACATCTGAATGCAACCCTGTTTAGGGAAGTTTTTAATATTTGATGTTCTATTGTGTTTTTCATATTCTGTTGGGAGCCGCCCAGAGTGGCTGGGGAAACCCTGTCAGATGGGCATGGCATAAATAACAAAATGTTGTTATTATATTATTATTATTATTATTATTATTATTATTATTATTATTATTTGAAAGATGACACCCTCCAGCAAAGGGAGGAAAGAAAGAACTTGAAACAGCTTGAATTTTCGTGGCAGAGAGAGCTGTAAGTTGGTTGGAACTGAAGCGTCATCAAGGCACAGTTCCTCTCTCTGGAGAGCTGAAGGCAAAACTATCACCTGTAGTGCCTGCCTAAATAAGAGTATCTGAAAGGCGAGAGGGGGGATGTGCTTGGCGCCATCATTATCAACTTTAGGTGCAAACAAAGACCTTCCTGTTTACCCTGCCATTGGGCTCTAAATTGGGGTCATGCGATCCACGGATACCCTATCCAGTATTGGAAATTCATCTTTTGGCAGGGTGCAGTAGAAGTTGTCCTTTTAATGTTATTCTCATAAAGCCTCTACTGCTCTGTTCTCCAAAGGAAACCAAATCTATGTATTGTTTATTTATTAAATGCCTTAACAACTTAGGAGAGCCAGCCGCTGGATAACAGTAAAATAAAATGAGGCTCGTTGCTGACTTAACTTGAGATCCCACCTACAGGCACTGGTGAAGTCCTTTTAATTACACACATAACTTATAACTTGAAGAGCAGGCTGCAGTCCAAGCAATCGTCCCCTAATTGTGTCTTCTAGCCTGCAGTAAAATAAGCAAAGACAAACTCTGCAATATTGTGCAATAATGTTCCCAGGCTATAGCTAATTTCACATATAGGAATCTCTTCCACAAGG